AAAAACACAAATGACAGGTTAAGCAGCAGCTTAGAGCAAGCAGAAGAAAGCATTTCTGATTTGAAGATGATCTTTTTGAAATAACCCAAGTGGATAAAAAATAAATAAACAAATAAAGGAATATGAAAAGAAACTAATCTAAGAAGACTAACAGACAATCTTAAGCATACAAAAATCTTAATCATGAGTGTTTCAGAAGAGGTGTGAGGAAAGTCATTGAAAACATATTCAATGAAATAGTACCAGAAAACTCCCCAGGTATAGGGAGAGATATGATCCTTCAGATCCAGGAAGCTCAAAGATCCCCAAACAGATCGAATCTAAAACGGTCCTCTCTGGGACATATTGTAGTCAAACTAAGAAACTCCAAGACAAAGAGTCTANGGATGATATATTTAAAATACTAAAAGAAGAAAAACACCAAAAGAAAAAAACAAAACCTGCCAGCCAACATTACTATACCCAGCAAAGCTATCCTTCACAAATGAGGGAGAAATAGTGTATATCCCAGAAAAACAAAAAATGGGAGTTCACCACCACACAACCAGCCCTACAAGAAATCCTCAAGGGAGCCCTATATCTATAATCCAAAAAATGATAACCACTACCACAAATACACAAGAAAGAACAAATCCCACTGGTAGAACAAAAATGCAAATGAGAAAGATAACAAAACTATTACTTACCACCCAAAAAAACAACAAACACCAAAGATGAACAATAAAAGGGGAAAAAAGAAACAAAAGATATTTAAAATATCCAAACAAAAATAAATAAAATGCCAGAAGAAAATGCCTTTCAGAAACAAACCTAAATATAAATGGATTAAATTCACCACTCAACAGATAGGCTGTCTTCAAGAGGCTCACATCGCCTGTAAAGACACAAAGACTAATAGTGATTGGATGGAAAAATATATACTAAGCAAATAGAAATGAAAAACAAGCAGGAGTAGCTATTCTTATATTGAATAAGATAGACTTTAAGCCAAAACTATAAAAAGAGACAAAGCAGCCATTAAATAGTGATAAAAGATCTATCCAGCAAGAACACACAACAATCACAATAGTTATAAATATATATGCGCCCAACACTGGAACACCCAGTTATATAAAGCAAACACTATTAGGCTTAAAGAAAGAGATAGACCC